CCAATCAGAAGTATGACCCAAAATCACCTCATCAGCTGTGATAAGGAACCTTGCAGGGTCTGCCAAATGCACTCAGCCTCCTGGGGTAATCCTTCCGCCTCTGCCCCCAACCCAGAGGCCAGTCAGCAACAGCACGCCTCACTCTGCTGTCTTTGCTCCTTCGATTTATCTATTCTGTTAATGGACATTTCATTGTTGCTGTTGTTTTGCTACTACAAACAATGCTACAGCAACAAGCTTGTTTTTGTATCATTGTGTGTGAGTTTCTCTAGGAGGTATCTCTTTAGAAATAGAAACTCTATGTGATGGGTGTGCACATCCTCCACTTTACTAGGTTATAGGATTTGCTCTCCAAAGTGGTGGTACCAATTTAAATGTTCTCCTAGTGTATTTGAGTGTTCCCATTGCTTTTCCATCCTTGCTCTCAGATAATCATTATTGAGTCAGGAAGAGGAAAAGTGCATGGTGATCAGTGGTTAAACTCTTCAGGCTCTAGGCCGGGCGCGGTGGCTCACGCCTGTAATCCTAGCACTCTGGGAGGCCGAGGCGGGTGGATTCCTCGAGGTCAGGAGTTCAAAACCAGCCTGAGCAAGAGTGAGACTCTATCTCTACTCTAAATAGAAAGAAATTAATTGGCCAAACTGATATGTATAGAAAAAATCAGCCTAGCATGGTGGCGCATGCCTGTAGTCCCAGCTACTCAAGAGGCTGAGGCAGAAGGATTGCTTGAGCTCAGAAGTTTGAGGTTGCTGTGAGCTAGGCTGATGCCACAGCACTCACTCTAGCCTGGGCAACAAAGCGAGACTCTGTCTCAAAAGAAAAAAACAAACAAAACTCTTCAGGCTTTAGAAATTGGCATCTTTTCAAGAAAAAGACAAGCATCTGTGGAATAAAATCCCAACTCCTTACCATGGCACATACAGCCCTGCTCCATCCAGCTTCCTCCTACCTCCAGCCTCACCTGGCACCACACTCCCCCTCACTCACAGCAGCCTCCTTTCTAGCCCCTGGAATGTGCAGGCAACTCATTCCCACCTCAGAACTTGATGTGCTTTCTTTTCCCAGCTCACTGCACAGCTACTTTCTTCTCAATTTTTACCTACTCAGGTTTTTACCTACCAGGCAAAACTGTTCCCCTTTCCTATCACTTCTCCATCATTCCTCATCCCAGCATTTTGCTGCCCACTAGTGTGTAGGGTGAATGCAGAGGACCCTGATGGTATCCTGAAGGGAGATTCTGTCCAGTGCTGTATTCTTCCCTTTGAGATGCCCCAAGATCTCATGCATTGGCTCTATCCACAGTTGAACCTTTCTCTTTGGATCAAAGCCAGGCCAACCCTCCTCCATTCTCAACGCCTGCGATGAAACCTGTGACTCCATCCCTTTTCTCTCCATCTTTCTGGAAGTCGTCGTGTGGCCTCTTTAAGTGCTTAGTCAAGGGTAAGATTTACCTGAGCCATCTCTGGCCCTTTCTTGCTAACCTGATGGTATGAGCAACTGCTCAAGGGGTTGAACATGTAATTATTTACTTATCATCTGGGCATGTGTGACTTTGTGGTCATCAATTGAGTCACCTGTGATCCCTACATCCAGTCAACATACCTAAGGGTTAATTGTTGCTTCAGGGGGAAAATTCTGTGATTATTTTGAGATTGGTCATTTGATTTGCTTGCCTTCTTACCCCCCCCCCCCCCCAGGACATTTAGTCCCTGGGCTGGGACATAATGCTATCTTTTTGATGCTCCCCGTACTTTCTGTCACTTACCTCATTGTTTTGTCATGGTCTCTTTTTGTGTTTCTTTTCCCCTGAGGACAGGGAACTATGATTTCCAGCTTTATGATCACCAGTACTTTGTACAAAGTAGGCATTGAATAAATGTTTATTAAACAGATGAACTAAATGAATGGGTTAAACTCTAGCTCTGGAATGAAAACTTGGTTTATTAACACATTCAGCTTAAATAAAGAGAGTGCCAGCCATGTTTCTGAGAAATTTGTTATCAATGGCAGCTCAGCTCCACAGAAAACTGGGTTTTTAATGAAAGGATTGAGGTGGGAACTAGGCTTTGATATGCGTCAATTTTGGTCTATTCTCAACCCGCACTATCAGGCACTGAAAAGAGCAGCAAAGAGACACCCAGAACCTTGCTCCATAACAATATATGTCTGTGGTAGAGTGATGGGATTAAGACCAGTAGGATTTAGGGATGCCGTGTCTGAGGCTGTGAGAGGAGAAGAAGTGAAGGAATTGCCTGAGCAGAAGCCTGAAATGAGTGCAGATGTTAACTGCCTAGCCAGGGAGCATATATTAGTGATTTGGGAGTACAGCAAAGCATGCTTTAACCTCAGAGCCTAAGGGGTCTCATGCATGAAAAGCCACAGAGCAACCTGACATGAAAACTCATGGCTGTAGAGGTAGATTGCAACATGTCACCCTTACAGCGGTGTAGCAAGCAAGCAATGACCAGAAGCAAAGGTTTGCCGTTAGCTCATTGCCCCACCCAAGTGAATTCCCAACAAGTAGAAGAATTCCTCTGCCCTTCCTCTGTCCTACAAATTCCTCTGCCTTACATTCCCCCCTTTCTCTAGGTAGCAGACGAGCACTCCTGCTCGTCCTCAAGGTCTCTTAGGTGCTCTAGTTCTATAGCACTTGACCATAGCTGCTGATATTGTTGTTGCAATACTAGTAGCTGGACAGTGTTTATCCGTTCTTTCACAAAAGCTACTAGTCTATTAATTACACATGGCGCAAAAGTAAGGACTAAGATTTGCATAATGAGTGGGCCTAGTAGGATGGATAGTAGCGTTGTTAACCAGGGGGAACTGTTAACCCAAGACTCAAACCAACCTGCTTCTATCGCTCCTAAGCCAAAAAGAGTAGCCATAGAGCTTTGTTTTGATGTACTGTTATGTGCTATTCTTTAGAGCTATACTGATACATATTAGTTCAATTAATTTAATATTTCTATCTCACTTGATAGAAACTAAAAGTTCATCAATGAAAAGGAAAAAGCTAAAGGCAAAATAGAAAAAAGAAATAGAGACATTTAACATAGAGATGTGAGTCTAGGAATCTCTTTCACAAAAATAGTAGGGGGAATAGCAAGAGTAAAAATTGAAAAATAATAAAAATAATAATAAAACCGAATCCTCAGTATTAATAAAATTCCTAGAAAGTAAGCTAACTAAAGGAAGAAAAAAAATATATATATATGGTTAATAGATTGGCTGCAAGAACCACACCTCCTTTCTCCCAGTAGCTCAGCCTTCCTGGAATACTCCATGCTTTCACTTACTACTTTCCTTCCATTCCTTTCTTGCACTTCCTCAGGTGGTTCTTAGTAGAAAAACAACCTGATTTGGAACAAAGTTGTGAATGGTGGGTAGTCTTAATCTCTCTTGTTACACATTAGCACCATATTTGAAATTCAGTGAAAGGAATGTCCTCTGAAACTATATTTATTTCACTCTCTCCCAAAGAACAGAGAACTGACAACTGAGTCCCAGGAAGTTCAGGAGTTGCCGGGTTCAAGCGTCCCTCCCATGTGTTGATGGTCCTCTACCTCCAACTCTCAACTCCGCTTTCTGTTCTAAAGCAACCTTATCATCAGAGGATACTGTGCTGGGCTGTCTTTGCAGATTCAGCAGCACCCCTCCCCTCCCGCATATTATGGGAAGTGGAAAAGACATAATATTCTGTAATCTTTACTAGCTGGTTCCCTTTATGATTCCCCAGTGAGAGACACCTCCCTGAGGTTTGTAAGGCAGGGAATAAGAAGCCATCATTCATCTTTGGCAGGAGGAGGTAGATGTTTGAATAGATGGTGGTTTCTTGTATTTCCTGCACTATAATGTGATGCTGTAGCAACTTCCAGAAGAGTTCCTGTCAGTCTGTCACATTGGTGCTGTGGGCAGCAAAGATCATTAGTTGTGACTCTGTGGCTTCTTGAGATTCCTTCATGTAGGGGACTGACATATATTTTCCTAGTTTAAGAATTAAAGTTAATGAGTAATGTACGTTTTCTGCCCAGAGTGTTTGAAAGTAATCTGTTCCAGACAAGGTCATTGTGATAAACAAGGATGTTGCCTAGAGGTATAACAAAGGACCTGAGCTGCGAGTAGCAAGAGCAGCCCCGCCCCACAGCATTGGGAGGTCTGGAGGCCACATGATAAACATATTGTTCCTGTGATTGCTGCGTACACTCCATAAGATGGCTGGTTAGTCAATGACAGGTAAGACCCCTCAAGGGAGGGGCAACTTAAGCCAGGCACAGCTGCCGGGGTTCAGCTGAAGATCTTAGGGGGTCACCCTAACAGAAGCTGGGGATGAGAAATGCCCCCTGTGGCTCACCTTGCCCATCCTTGCTAATCTCGGTCCTTTATGCCTAGCACCTAGAGCAACCACCTGGAGACCTTGAGCCAGGGGATATCTGCTTCCCTAAAGCTATGTATTCCGGAATTTATGGCCATTGCTGCAATGCCTGGGCAGTTACGTACAAGGAACTAACTTTAATCTTTTAGAGTATAAAAATAAAATGGACCCGGTGTATTATTACTCGAATCAACCGTCTGTCTGTGTGTCCATGTTTTTCTTTGTGTTCTGCGTTTGTGTTTTATGTTCTGTGTTCATCCTCCGTCCTGTTAACGGGCTAAAACACCTTCACTTCCGTATTTCCTGAAGGCCAGCAGGAGTGTTCATTTCCCTAGCTTTTCCAATGGCCTTGTAAACATCTAGTCCCTTCCTGCTTTCATTTTCCTAATAGGACTCTGACTAACACTAATACTTTTGCTGATTTGCTCATTTTCTGATATTGTGCAAGTTGAGTTGTTTGATTTTATGACCAAGAATATAAACCAGTAATGCTCAGCATGTGTTCTAAATTTATAATATAGCATATTTCTTGGTATTTCCTAGTTATTTTGTACACTTTTTTGAAACCTCCCAATCTTACCCCCACCAAAAAAGTCAACAAAATATATGAAAGTACCATCATTCTTAGTTAAATTTTTTCATTTATTATGTTTTTTATTGTTGTCATTGTATCTCGATTTATACCAGAATTGTGACAGAGGGCAATTAGTTTTAGAGAAAGTGAGGAAAGGTAGGAAGGTTGCTTTATTTTTTCCAAAACCTGGCTTGACGGAAAATTCACACATCCTTCAAGTTTATGAAACAGGCGCCGAATCTTTATTAAATTGGCCAGCAGAATAAGATCATCTCCACTCAGATATCGGAAGACTGGAATCTCCTCAGAGGCTGGTAGCTTTTCAGCAAAGAGAAAGAGAAGGGAAGCTCAGAGTCCAAGAGTGGAACTGGGGAGGTGGGAGGAGCCAAATCATGGCCCTAATTTCGGATTAGATTCCCTATTGAAGGTCCAGTCTAGTTATCTGTAAGGGGCAGTGGCATTATTCTGATCCCAGCAAGGAAAGAGCTGAAATGCTGTGGAGACTCAGGAGACTGAGTGGAATTTGGGTACTTCCAAAAGCTTACAATTTATTCAAGTAATTTAACCAGCATCTACTGAGGAGAGTACAAAGTTGCCTCCACCACAGTCCCTTCCCTGGAAGTGTGGGAAGGCTAGGTATCCATTGGGAAGGCACTGAGGGGGCATTTTTCCTCAGAGAAGGTAGGACCAGGATGACTAAAACTCCCTTTTGTTCTCCTAAATGTGCCCCCTACTTCCAGGAGACTGTTCCAAATTAACCTCTCCATTACTCTTCCTGGGCTTCTGCTCTCCCTGCTACCTCACAGCCTTTGATGATTCTAGGCTGCTACTGTCTCCTTGCAGCTGCAGAAAGCTGAATGGTTCTGTTAGGACGGTCTTGCCAGTCTGTGCCTTTGGGGCCAGCCTGGGAGGGGCAGTTAGCCTCAGTGGGGCAGATTAAATGCAAACAGAACTACTACCTTCTGCAAGCAGAGTGACCACTTATCTGCAAAATGTGCAAGAACTTACAGTATCCTTCTGCATTTCCACACCTCCTTCCATAGAAAGGAAAGAAGGGAGGAAGGAAAAAAAATACGAGATGGACAAGTAACAAAGAATGGATCGAGATCCGCAATCTACACTTTAACACCAAATCCCATAACATGACAGAAAACTTTTTACAGATTAAATCAATGATGGTTCTAATAAGAAAGATTTCATCAGCAGGAATAATTTTAAGGAATTCCTAGAGATCAAAAAGTAGATGAGGCTTTATCTATAGGGAGATAAATGACTAAATGAAACCAGTAACCCAAAACACACACATTCTGAGCTCAGAGTCAAGAGAAAGGAGGAGGAGAGACCCTGAAGTCTACATTACATTGGGAGGCAGCCCCCTCAGCTTCCCCTTTGTGTTGCGCACTGGTGCCCGCACTCCTCAACAGCACATACCACTTCTCTGCAGTGATCAAAAGCAAACTTCAGTAAGCAGAGCAGAGAAGTAGAGATTCTCAAATACAAAAATGAACACACAACTGAGAATCACCAAATACTTGAGGCCATGAAAGAGAGGTATCAGATTTACCTATTAGAGAAACTAATACTTAAGAAAACACAATTAATAGACAGAAGAAGACTTTGGGATATGTATAGTTAATACTTTCTGAGGGATTTGAGAGCATATTTTTGTCAAGGAATCCTAAAACAAAACCCCCAAAGGCGCACACTCAGTCACAGAGCACTCAATAAATGTTACTTGGATCCAAATCTGACCTAAAAGGAATTTCAGAAGAAGAAGAGACAATGAGCCTGCCTCAATTCCATATGAAACTTTCACTATGTGTTTTTTCATTGAATTCCAAAATTCTTAGTGGACAGTAGATTATGCAAAAGTATAATCTATCAGTAATAACATTACCAAAAATTATTTTACTCATTATTCTAAATGCTTTAAACTGTTTTTAAAACCGTACCTACCTTCACTTTGGTTCCGACACTGATTTTTGCCTGTTGGCCCATTGCTAGAAAAGTGATAGAAATCTTGTCTTGTTCTAAGATGCGAACTCCAATATGATGGTTCAAAGCCAGAAAGACAGGTTTAAATGAAACAAATGGTGAGGAAGTGGTGGGACTTGACCAATTCCAAGCCCTTATTCTGTTGCCAGCTTGATCTGAATATTGACCTCCCAAGATATTGATGTATACCCTGGGCAGGAAGGAAATTAAAAAATCATAAACAGTAACACTATAATCCAATAGCGGAATTAGCCCTGTCACTTGCTTACCAAGGGGAGTAACAGTTTATGTTAGCCAATAGCATACGAGTGGTGAAAATGTCAGATAATCTTACGATTGATAATACCATGACTGAATTCTGCACTAATTTGAAGTACTGGGTCCAATTCGAGGCCATACTGATAAACTAAAATGATTCAAAGGATGGAACTGGGATGGTAAAGGGCTCTGGAAGGATGGAGAGGGAGCAGGAAAAGTTTAGTCCAGAAAAGAAGAGATACAGGGGAATAGGCTATTCCTGAAAGAGGGGGAAAGACCAATGCTTAGATTTTCATCATGCCAAAGTGAAGACCAGTGGACGTAAATTCTGGGGAAGCCCAACTTGACATCAGTACAAGAAAGCTGTTTCCTAACAGTGCCCACCAACTGGGAGCCATGTGTCCTTCTCAGAGGCCTCTCAGCAGATGTGGGTGTTGGGGCGGGGGAGAGGCTCAGGAACACCTCTGAGAGCCCTGTAGTAGAGAAGACCTCTGTAAGGAGCAGAAGGTAGAACTTAGACCAACTGGTCCCCCTGCAATCTCTTAGCATCACCAATGCCCCTTTTTACTACATTACATTTAGCCCTGCACAGGCAATCACACTGCCATTCTACTCAGCTGTCTCCTTGTCACAGTCTCTCATCCTCTTCCATCTTGGATCACCATTCCCATCTTGAGGAAAGAGAATCGGGATAGTTCTGGGTATTTAGAAAATTGACTTAATTTGATAATGAATTAAAAATAAACACTCGATGAATTGGCCATGAGGGCTCCCTATAGTAAGATAACTATCATCTCACTTCCCCAGAAATCATCTCATTTCATTGATTTGTGATAGTAATCTAATATCCCAAGCACAAATGAAAAACTGAGGTGATTATCTTATTGTATTTAGGAAGAGAGAGATTTAGTTTTATCTTGAAATGTGTGTGAAAATAATATTTGGGTAAAATTACCTAGATAAGTCAGTGCTTTGTTTATTTAATAAACATTCTTTGGGTCTATACCGTGTGAGATACACTGCTATGTTGTGGCAAAGATTTAGGATGTGCCTTCAGGGAACATCAGTCCAGCAGGGGAAATGGACTTGCTATGTGAAAGCCAGATAGAAAGTCTATGAAAATATCAAGGAGCCATGCCAGAGTGCCCAGAGTTCAGTTTGTGGGTCAGGGGATTCGTGAAATCAATCTAGAAGAACCAATTGGTTTCTAGTTTAGAAACCAGTGAATATTGGTGATAATTAATATAGCACTTCACCAAATGTAATGTAGAATTACTATTGAATCCTGAAAGGTAAGTAGAAATTTTCTAATATACACAGTGGTAATGGATTGACTACTGCTTTGGACTAAAAACCCAAATAGCTCACTGTGTCCTAACTTTCTCAAGTACTGGCAATATACAAACATTGCCAATTATTGGCAGAGTTTCCCAAAATGAGATTGTTAAACCTGTAAATAATGTAAAGGGGAAAAAGGAGAAGATCCCTTCCTGAAAAGCTCAAAAAGTTTAAGTTGTATTTGAAATTATGACCCACATGTCACTTTGTTAGGCTAAATGAAGTAATAGTATAGAGTATGTACATTAGTAGATCAAATTGGGATCACGATAATAATTTCTTTAGAGATTTTTTTTTTTTTTTTGAGACAGGGTCTTGCTCTGTTGCTCAGGCTGGAGTACAGTAGCATTATCATAGCTCTCTGCAACCTGAAACTACTGGGCTCAATGGATCCTCCTGCCTCAGCCTCATGAGTAGCTGGGACTACAGGCATGCACCACCATGCTCAGCCAATTTTTCTATTTTTGTAGAGATAGGGTCACACTATGTTAGTCAGGCTGGTCTTGAACTCCTGGCTTCAAGCTATCCTCCCACCTTGGCCTCCCAAAGTGCTAGGATTACAGGAGTGAGCCACTGTGCTCTGCCTTCTTTAAAGATTTTGTTTATATATTATTGTTGTTGGTTGTGGCTGTAGGAGGCTTACTAGTTAGGACTGTATCTCAAACAATAAAAACATAACGTAGCAACTGTCCTTTGACAAATTATTTCCATAGAAGCAGCAGCATAACATCATCAAGGCACAGGCTCTAAAGACTGCGTAGGTTCATATGCCAAATCCCTAGAATTACATATATATTTATTAGATTTTTTAATATTGCAATTATAAGCTCAATTTTCTTACCTGTTTATAGAAAGACTATACTGAGCTTTGTGTTTATATAGTAGCTGGGATTTTCTGGAGAAGCATATGAATGAACATAAACCAAAAATGTCCCTGAGTTAAATGTTACTATCTAAAGGCCACAAACTTAAATAATCTCTTAAAGCCATTCATATAATTAAAAGAAAAATAAAATTTCAGCACAACCAAAACCAAAAGGACCACAGAAAAAACCTAGAAGCCTACCCAGACATTTCCATTGGGGTGATAGCAGGAACTTCTGCCAGAGAATCCAGCACTGCCAGGATGGCAGGGTTGTGTGCACGTCTTCTTGCCTATACATTGTAAACCATGTATCTTGTTGGGTACTCGGATGATAGTATTTCCAGATGGATAGCTGAGTCAAAGGTAGGCATGTATAGGTGTTCTAATGGTCTTGACTAATCTGGAATAACTTACTTAGAGAGAGCCCTGTGAAATCATAAAGCAGTCAAATATGACGGACTATTATTACAAAAGATTTTATGCTTTTGATGTGGATCAAATAATTTATGAGAATGCAAAATCCTAACAGATATTAGTAATAAAACCTAAGCAATATAAAAGGATTATGTCCAAATGAAGTTGGATTATCCCAGGGAATGCAAAGTTGGTTTGATATCTGAAAATCAATTAATGTAATATACCATATTTAATAGAATAAAGATAAAAAACACATGTTATCTCAATAGACACAGAAAAACCATATGACAAACTTCAACACTTCTTCTTAAAAAAAAGACTCAATGGACTTCGGAAGGGAATGTCCTCAACTTGATAAAGATATCTATAAAAACCCACAGCTAGGCCGTCGCGGTGCTCATGCCTGTATCCTAGCACTCATGGGAGGCCAAGGCAGGCGTTGCTCAAGGTCAGGAGTTCTAACCAGCCTGGAGCAGAGCGAGACCCCATCTCTACTATAAATAGAACAATTATTGGCCAGCTAAATATATATAGAAAAAATTAGCTGGGCATGGTGGCACCATGCCTGTAGTCCCAGCTACTGGGAGGATGAGGCAAAGATCGCTTGAGCCCAGGATTTGGTTGCTGTACTAGGCTGACGCCAATGGCACTCACTGTAGGCCTGGGCAACAAAGTGAGACTCTGTCTCAAAAAAAAACCCACAGCTAAAATCATACTTAATGGTGAGACTGAGTGCTTTCTCCCTAGATCAGAACTAAACAAAGATGTTTATCTACCACTTCTATTCAACATTGCACTGGAGGTTCTAGCCATACAAAGTTTAGGAAAGAAAAAACAAATGAAAGGCATCCTGACTGTAAAAAGAAAGTAAAACTGTACCTATGCACAGATACATGCTCGTATATTGAAAATCCTAAGGAAACACCAAAACAATTGTATTAGAACTAATGGTTCAGCAGAGTTGTAGACTACAAGATCATGTACAAACATAAACTGTATTTCTGTACACTAACAGTGGACATCCTAAAAATAAAAAACAATTCCATTTTCGCAGCTCAAAAGAATAAAATATACTAAGGATATTCACTAAATGTTAATACTCAGTTTATATCTAGGCTGGCCAGAAGTCCAGTAAGTCAACACAATTGATTCTAATCATCTTGAAAGCAGCCATACCTTCAGAGAGTTAAGAAATAAAGTCAGTGATGAAATAATAACTAATAATAAAGGTTGGGTAATTATGTTAAGTTTATTGATATAATTAAACAAACCCTATCCTCTCATGGGCCTGGGAACTAAAACTTCATTATGCTTCTATGCCACAAAGTAGGTTTCCTGCTTTATTATTGGGGTTGACTGAACATTTAGGAAATTAATGACTAAATGACTTCTTCTACTAAGGAGGGCCTCAGTTCATAAAAATAACCTCATTTTTTTTGCTTTTTGTTTTTACTTCCCTCCAAGAAATTAAGTAGTCTATATGTTGAAATATTAAGTGAATAGCCTGGCCATCGGGCAGAGGTCCAAGTGATCAAAAACAAGTGTTCTCCATTAAATGAATATCGAATTTTGGTATTAAAAATTACATGCTACTCATGGTGTGAAAACTGGTGCACACTTTCTGGAGGGTGGGCTTGGGGGGATGCAAAATCTATCAAGCTTTAAAATGTCAATGTCTTACCCAGAATTCCTTACCCTTTGGTATTTAATTCAAAGAAATAAATGATAAATGCAACAAGTATACACAGGGCTGTTCATTTAGCTGTCGTGTTATATAGCAAAATAGTGAAACCACCTTTGTTCATTAATAGGAGATAAATAGACTAAATGAATTATAGTGAAATACCATGTGGTTATAAAAATGGTATCTCTATATTTATTGCATGTTATATTTCTAACATTACCTTATTTTGTAATATCATTATGTAAAGGAGCCAGTTGTGAATATGAATAAATAATTGGGATTGATTTTTAAAGAACTATATATATGTCTCATAAGACAGAAAGAAGTAAGGAAAAATATATTTTATGCTAACAGCTTTTCTCTCAGTGGTAGAATTTGAGAATAATTTTTTTTCTTATATTTTTCTGTATTCTTTCTTTTCTTTCTTTTTTTGAAAAAATAAAGCTAATAAAAGTAATATGTTTGAAAGAAAGGATACAATATTTGCGTGTCCCGTCTGGATGAAGTCAGAAACTGCCTCCGTGTTTGTAGTACTTCTCTAAGAAGCTCGTTTCTCATAATCTATACACATAGAAAAGAAAACACTAACTGTGAATGGCTTTCAGAATATAAACAGTAAGTATGACAA